CGGCCCCATATACTGAGGGTGGCAAGTGCAAACCTGGCCCCAGCCAAACCACAATGAAAAAATAGCTGTTGTGGCAAGCGCCTATAGTCCCAGCTACTTGGGAGGCTGAGACAAGAGAATCACCTAAGCCCAGGAGTTGGAAGTTGCTGTGAGCTGTGACGCCACAGCACTGTATCAAGGGCAATAAAGTGAGACTCTGTTTCTAAAAAAAAAAAAAAGGCTCAGTGGATAGTTTTACCCACTGCAGATTCATTTTTAATCTGTATGTATTTTGTTTCTACAGGGACTATATTTGCCTACGGGCAGACTGCTTCAGGAAAAACATACACTATGATGGGTTCGGAAGATTATTTGGGAGTTATTCCCAGGGCAATTCATGACATTTTCCAAAAAATTAAGAAGGTAAATAGCTGAATTTCTTACATTTATTCACATATGTGTGTTTACTTATATATATGTAAAAGCAATGATTAAAAACTTACCATAGTGTTCTTCTCATATACTAATAAAGGAAGTAGATTTATAGTTATCTCTTAGTTATCCATGGGTAAAGAAGAAAGGCATAGCATAGATTCACTTCGATCCCCACTGACTTACACATCAAACTTAAAGATTTTTCATTCTTTCTCTTGAATCCTATAATAATAATACTTTCAACCAAAAGTAGTCATTAAACAACTGGCCAGGAACGGTGGCTCATACCTCTACCACTCTGGGAGAATGAGTTGGAAGAATCCGTTGAGGGCAAGACTTAGAGACTAGCATGGGCAATGTATCCCTACACCCGTCCTCCTTACAATTGGCCAGGCACAGTGGGTAGATTGCCGGAGCTCATGAGTTCTAGACCAGCCTGAGCAAAGTGAGACCCCATCTCTACTAAAAATAGAACAGGGAAATTGTATTGTATCAGAATGGTTTGCTCCACATTGCCTTTGGGATTATAAAGAACAGTAAAAAGTGGATGTAGGTAAAGAAGGGAAGCAGGAGGCCAGGGTAAGCAACCTAATTAGTTAAAAGTTAGTTTTAAGTGAACATTTTCATTAAGAACATCTGATTGTAGGGTTTTATTTTGAGCCTGGAGGGTTGCCCTGGGTGCCCCCCTCTTCTAATTTGATAATACTTTAATTTTTTTTATTTCTGAAACAATACTTTTATATTTTTGTGTTTATTGCGAATGTAGAATCATGGGTTTTGTTTTACAAGTGTAACTTCTTTGATACACAGAAGCAAATAAACACAGAATATTAGATTTTCATAATTGGATGCTTTCTGATGTTTTACATATTTTTTTCTTCCAGTTTCCTGATAGGGAATTTCTCTTGCGTGTGTCTTACATGGAAATATACAATGAAACTATTACAGATTTATTCTGTGGCACACAAAAAATGAAACCTTTAGTAATTCGAGAAGATGTCAATGTGAGTAACAGTTAAGGGGTTTTGCAGGTGACTTATTGGGATTATTGTTCTTGAACATTTACCTTTAATTTTTAAAATGTCTGTTTCTCTTTTTTTCCTTTTTGAAGTATTTATACAAATTCATCTTATAAACAATATGCATAGTTTTAAATATCGATAGCTCTAGTATTTTGGTTTAAGTGCCTAATGGTAGCAGCATGGAAGTATCAAGTTAGAATTTGGTGCGCTTTAGTACAGAAAATAAACTGTAAGTATTTATGGAGTTGCTTGTCATATGCTTATAGAATGGGGATTCCATTTTCCACTGTTAACTTTCACAAATGAATTCTGTAATAGTTTGTGCCTTCTTTTTAAAAAGCAAACTTTTAAGCAATTTCTGTTTCCTTAATTTTCCCATAATTAAACTTGTTTCAGAGGAATGTATATGTTGCTGATCTCACAGAAGAAGTGGTTTATACATCAGAAATGGCTTTGAAATGGATAACAAAGGGAGAAAGTAAGATTTTATGCTGTATTTCTTTAAAACATTTATAAAAACTATCTTTTCAATCAAGTGTGTTTAGGCTTCAAATTATACTTTATTAAGTTAAAATAAAATTATTGGTTTTTTTCTTTGTATTTGAATATGTATCCAGCTGAAATACAACTCTTTGTTTTATAGAGAATAGACATTATGGAATAACAAAAATGAATCAGAGAAGCAGTCGTTCTCATACCATTTTTAGGATGGTAGGTAATATTCTCTCTCTCTCCCCACCCCCCCTTCTCTCTCTCTTTTACAGCATCTAATGGTAGGGTTTTATTTTACTCCAGAATATAGGACTGGATATACCCCCTCTTCTTATTTTATGATACTTTATTTTTTATCATTTATTTTTATACAAATTTCTTTTTCTGTCTAGATTTTGGAAAGCAGAGAGAAGGGTGAGCCTTCTAATTGTGAAGGATCCGTCAAAGTTTCCCATTTGGTGAGTATAATGAACAATGATAAAGTACAGTCTGTGCCAAAACAAAATTTAATTTAGCTGCTGGGTATTTGGTTTAATATGAACTATTACCACAACTAAATGGGGGGAGGGGTTCTATAAATTGGCAGTTTCATCTTATCAGTAGCATCAAATTACTACCTAAAATGTGGTAGAAAAAATTCATAGGATCTGTCTTCCTATTATATCATGACTGTCATCTCCTAAAAGTTAGATGAAAGAACTGTAGGATTCGAGGCTTTCTCTAGCCACTATACTAATGAAGTAGCATTTTTGTCTGTATACTTTTAAAAGTTTAAGTACTCTTAGTAATGGGGATTTGTTTGTTTGTTTGTTTGTTTAACAGACTCAGGCTGGGTTCTAACCCACCAGCCCTGGTGCATGTGGCCAGCGCCCAAACCTCTGAGCTAAAGGCGCCAAGCCAGAAATAGGGATTTTTTAAATCTCAGTCAATATAATTTAGACTTGTATGATCAACAAAAATCTAGGTGGGATGGTTAAAAAATAGATCACATTATTAAAGGTTTTTCTTAAGTACAATAAGAAAATATATGTTATATTATAAATACAATGTTTTAGACTATAAATCTCTTGAAGGGAAGGGTGATAACTACATTCATCTTTGTAACCCAAACACATTGTACGTAGTTTATGTTCAATCCGTATTTGTTGAATAAGTGAATATGAGCATTATACAAATATTTCTTCTTTCCACATAAGTTAATTTCCCATTTTCTTCTTGCTGTACCATGTTACTGCCGTCTCTTTCTTATTTCTTTCCTTTACCTATATTGCATTATTCTGTATCTTCAGGGCTTCAGTTATGTAGCTTGACATGGATATGATTTATAATTACCCTGTTTGATTTGAAAACTTAAGGGGAAAAAAGTAATAATGTACCTATTCATTTTTATATTTTATAAAATCAGATTCTTAATTAAAAGTCCATTCCTAACCTTATCTTAGTTTTTTGCTGTAGAAGAATACAGGCAGTCCCCAGGTTATAAATGAGATAGGTTCTGTAGGTTTGTTCTTAAGTTGAATTTGTATGTAAGTTAGAACAGATTTATTCACCTATTACATATAGTATCTTCCATTTGTAAGTGCAAGTTGCACGTTGGTTAGATGTTTGTAACATGGGGACTTACAGTAATAGCCTCAGTTTGTGAGTTATGCATAAGTCAGATGTTTGTAACTTGGAAACTGCCTGTATAATTTGTTTTAATCTTTAATTTTTTATATTTAGTGTTTAATCTTGTTTTAATTTAACAGTAAAAAAATAAATCCTAGACTATTTTGTTTTCCAACCCTGGCCTGTGATAGTTCTCTGCTCCTTAACATTTCTTTTAATAACTTACCTTTAATATTCTTGGCATCATCAGTGATCTATCTGGCAATTTTTCTCATACTCCTTGGTGCTCTGTCATTTGTGGTCCATGTGGTCCAAACCTCTATCCTACCCACTTCCTGTAAGAATCTTCTTAGAAAAAAGTCTTCCCCCAAGAGTTATCTTCTGGCTCTTTAGGGGCAGCCCTTTTGTGGTTGTCTCCTGGCCTTGGTGGGATGACAATATTCAGTTTCTCTTAGCTCTGTCCTCAACCGTCCTCCCACCTTGGCCTCCCAAAGTGGTAGGATTACCAGTGTGAGCCACCATGCTTGGTCTCTGATTTTCTTGTAATGCATTCAGAATGCTTACTGAACTTGATCATGTTCTGAGCACAGTGCTGGGCTCTAAGATTAAAAGAATAAATAAGACATACCTCCACTAACTCCAGGTAGTGTCCCTAGCCCAAACCACTGTCACCTCTCACTTGGGTTGCTGCACCAGCCTCCTGATGGGGCTGCCTGCTGCCACTCATGCACCCTGGACCTCTTCAATCCATCCTCCACTCTGAGGCCATAGTGGACCTTTAGAAAGTTGAGTCAAGTTGCATTATTCCCTTGTGTAAAGCCCTCCAATGGCTTCCCAATGCATTTATAAAATTCAGAGTTCTTAATCTTACTTACAACATCCTACATAATCTAACCCCTACTTTCTCCTCTTCCCTATCTTCTATCTTCACTTTACGAGTTGTCCCATACTTCCCTTTCTTTTTTCTTTTTTTGAGCACACCATGCACATTCTGCTTTGTGACCAGGAATGCTGCTGTTCATACTTTAGACTACAGTTTCCCTTGATCTTTTCATGACTGGCCCCCTCTTCTCTGTCATTTAGATCTTAGTTTAATGACAGGTCTTCCCTGTCACCCAATCCAGTGAATCTACCTGGTCCCTCTCTCTGCCCTCTTCCAACTCTATATTTAAATTGCCTCTGTCAAACTCATCACAGTGTGTTTCTTATTTGTCTTTTTTCCCCCTTCTCCACCAACCTTTGTGTAGAATGTAAAATCCTTGACAGCAGAGACTGTATTTGTTTGGTTCATTGCTGTGTTTCCAGTACCTAATCCACAGAGCATGATAAACAGTCACTTTTTTTCAGTAATACTTGTGAAATGAAAGAAAGGCCCTTGCTTTTAAAGATGCTACAGTGTAGTTATAGACAATGTCTATAGATAAATATGTAGGTATTTTTTAAGAGTTCTGGATATGCACTTGAAGGAGAAATTCACTCAAGGTGTAGGGGAAGGATAAAATATGCACAGCTATCTTCAGGAGGTAATATTTGCCCTGTTAAATAAAGAATAAGGGTACAAGAGAACATGAGAACTAACTGAACAAAGGGAATAGCAAAAAGTTGGTACTTAGAGATATAGAATATGGGGGGGAGGGGTTGAAGAATATTGAGTAGTTCAGCTAGGGGTTTAAGAGTAAGGGATGAATAGATACAAAACTGGAGCAATGGAAGTGCCAGATAGTGAAAAATCACTCACCAGGCAACGTTTTGGACTTTGTAGGAAACAGAATCTATAGTGGTAGCATTATAGAGATTGTATTATACAGAAAGAAGTAACAGGTAGAGAACAGCTTGACTCAGAAAAGGGAATGCCTGAACAATGAGATGGGAGACAAGGATACAGATGGGATATTCAGATATGCCATGTATTTAAATGTTCTTTTGGTAGTTTGGATTTTATTGTTTCAAAATACCTTGCCTAAAGATTTATTGTCATCGTCTTACAGAATTTGGTTGACCTTGCAGGCAGTGAAAGAGCGGCTCAAACAGGAGCTGAAGGTAATGAAAACTCATAAAATACATTAGTCTTTTTTTTTTTTTTTAACAAGATGCCCAGTTAAATTTAAATTTATAATAGTCAAGAAATATTTTAATATTAAGTATTTCTACCTAAGTAGTATTAGGGTAATAAAAAATAGCAAATATGTTGAGAGCCCATCAAATATTGTGTGAGATATGTTTTATACTAAAAAAATATTCACTGTGTATCTGGAATTTAAATTTAACTGTGCATCCTTTATTTTAATTTTCCAAGCCTAATCTAATCAAAGTAGTATATTGGTCTTGATGTCTTCCTGTTTTTTTAGGATAAAAAATAGCAAATGTATTAAGAGCCCACCAAATATTGTGTGAGATATGTTCAATATTAAAAAATTATTCATTGTTTATCTGAAATTTAAATTTACCTGGGCATCCTTTATTTTAATTTTCCAAGTCTAATCTCATCAAAGAAGTATATTGGTCTTGACGTCTTCCTGTTTTTTTACGATAAAAAATAGCACTAGACATTTTTAGAAACTGATAAAGTAATACAAATAGGAATCATTTTCTGATAAAAGTCTTAAACGTAAAAATTAGTATTTATAGGTGGCTAATTATTTGCTTTGGGTACTATAGCATCAGTTAAAAAACTAAGATTAGGGCAGAGCCTGTGGCTCGGTGGGTAGGGCGCCAACCCCATATACCAAGGGTGGCAGGTTCAAACCCAACCCTAGTCAAATTGTAACAAAAAAATACCCAGGCATTGTGGCAGGTGCCTGTAGTCCCAGCTTCCCTGGAGGCTGAGGCAAGAGAATTGCCTAAGCCCAGGAGTTGGAGGTTGCTGTGAGCTGTGTGATGCCACAGCACCCTACCAAGGGTGATAAAGTGAGACTCTGTCTCTACAAAAAAAAAAAAAACTCTATGCCAGTGATAAGATTGTATAGTTGGAAAGCCCATGAGAGAATCACCTAAAGTTTCAAAATTAATACAGAAATTAAAAAAGATAGTGGTGTACAAAATTAATATACAGATATTAATAACCCATAACAGAAAAAAACATTGTGATATCTAGTAGACAAAAAGACTCCATTTACAAGAATGACTCAAAAGATGTGATATCTAGGAAGAAACAGAGTTTGCATGAGACTGACATAAAGCTTAAATCTTTATGAAGGATGCAAACACTTAAAAATATGGAAAAGCATACTTTGATGAGAATACTCAAAATCACAAAGATATTCCTCTGTCTGTTAATTTCTAGATTTTACACAATCCTAATAAAAATAAAATAGTACTTTTTTGTGTTGTTAAGTTGAGTTTAAAATCTGTATAGGAAATTAAAAAGTGACAAGACTAGCCAAGAAAATTCAGAAAGTAGAATTTAACCTTACAAAATAAGCAAAATGTTATACTATCATAGTAATTAAAACAGTGTGAACTGTCAGCCCAGTGAAACTGAATAGAAAAGCCAAGAGTCCCAAGTATATACATAACTTAAAGTATAATAAAGGTGATCTCTCAAATTCATGAGGAGAAGGCAGCTTATTCATGAGTTGATAGCCATTTGAAAACAAAAAAAGATTGGATTTATACATCCTGTGCTACACCAAGGAATGTATTATAAATGCACAAAGAAGGCAACATCGAAAAAGAATCACAAGAATGATTGGAAGTCATCTTACAGTGGGAAAGACCTAACTAAGACACAAAGTACATAACCTTAACAGAAAGACTTAAGAGAAACCAGTAGAAAACTGGGCAAAGAATGTGAATGAGTAGTTCATATTCAATGGTTTAACTCACAATTGCACTCTTGCCATGTGCCCTGAGGAGAGCTGCTGATCCAGTGAGGATGAGATTTGTGCAGCAGAGCTGAGCTCATGGGTAGAGCACTCAACTGAGCCTGCCCTACATCCACCAAACAAGCCTGTCCCCAGACCTGTGAACAAGAAATAAATGCTTGTTTTAGCTTATTTGTTAAGTAGCAGTATTACAGCAATAGCTAACTAATGCATCTGTGAAATGACATCTATTCGAAATTAGTTCTTCCAGTATTTTTCCCTTAACAGGAGGCAGGATAAATAAATTTTGATGTTTTTATACAATGGAATTCTGTGTTATAAAAAAGAATGAAAAAGGCCAATGCTTACTGATAATGGAAATTTTTCCAAGATATGTTACTAAATAAAGAAAAACAGAGTGCAAAGTAATGTGTAGACTGCTAGTATTTGTGTAAATAAGGAAGAGAGGTAATGAATATATGGACTTGTATTTTTAAAAATCTCTGGAGGAATAAATATAATGTCTGGTTTCCCGGTAGAGAGACAGAAACTGGTTAAATGAGAGATAAAAGTGGAAAGGAGCTTTTTTAGAATGTGCTTTTTTTTTCTTTTTGATTCATATAAGCACATTAACAACTAAAAAATAAGGAATTAGAGACTAATTTGGTTGTAAGTCCATGGTTGCCTTTATCTAGAGGTTAAAAAAATAGATATGAACTGAAGTGACAGGAGCTCTTTCAGAAATAGGATATTTATCCCTCATTCTTTTCTTTTTTCTCTTTTTCTTTTTACTGTTTCTCTCAGGTGATAACCTTTCTGATTCACTTAATAGGTGGTGGCAATAGGAAGAGAGCTCCTCCTACCTGCGATATTTAAGTGGGCTCAGGTCTAATACAAAGCATCTGACCCTTTAATTTCTAGTTTATCTCAAATCGTACTGATAAATAAGTTCATCACCTAAAAAGGATCATGTTGGTTTTCGTATTTGTTTAACAAATGCAGGTGTACGACTCAAGGAAGGCTGTAATATAAATCGAAGCTTATTTATTTTGGGACAAGTAATCAAGAAACTGAGTGATGGACAAGTTGGGTAAGTTTCTCCCATTGTGCACTTTCTAAACTTACATTTTTCATTAGATTAAAAATTTTAATATTTCAGTGACAAGCAAGTGCATTGATTTCTTCCATGTATTACAAGCTTTTGTGATTCTTTCTGTTTTTAAATCTTTTCAGCTGTTAGTTTTAATCTGCCTCACAGAGCCTATCAAGAATTAATTTTTAAAACTGTGGCTGATTTAAGTGTTCTGTACTAAGAAACTATCTTTTTTTGTTATATAAAAATTCTTAAATCTTTTTCTTCCTAAACTCTTTTTTGCTAAGCGGTTTCATAAATTATCGAGATAGCAAATTAACACGAATTCTCCAGAATTCCCTGGGAGGGAACGCAAAAACACGGATTATCTGCACAGTTACTCCGGTGTCCTTTGATGAAACCCTTACAACTCTTCAGGTGAGTTTGATTTTTATTTCCGCTTAATATGGGGGAAGATGAACTGCAGGAAGAAAATAATCACTAAAATTAGGCATAGGGGTGTTTTTTTATTTAATTTTCCCAGTTTTTAATCATTTGTCCTTACCACCACAATTTTGCCACATCCAGTACTATTTTACTGAAATTGACTTGACATTTTTCTTTAAATATGTCATTTTTCATACTTAATTTATTATAAAAGAAAACTTTTGTATTAGTCCTATCAGTGAAAAACAACTCTTACTTGCCACAAATAGAATGTAACAACAACAACAAAAATTATGCATGTATAACAAAATAATTCTTAAATTCCTGCCACTTAGCTGTTGCCTTTCTTGCTCTAAGCCTAAGGCCTGCATTTACTATTTTAAAAAGGAAAGAAAAAATGAGAAATGTCAGTAGAATAGCTTTCTCAAAGAAGGATTTGATTTTATTTGATGTTATTTCATGTACTCACTTAAAATAACTTGTGCTGTACTTATTCTGAGAAGCATTGCTTTAACTGTTGAGCACTGGACCGAGGGGAGTGACAGAGGTACAAAGGTAGAAAACAGAGTCCTATTGATGAATTCTGTGACAAGGCTGATAACACTTGTCTTCCAGTGTGATTGCCTTGGATTGACAGTTACTTGGGTGATAAGTAGCATAGAGTTAAAAGGCAGGAGAGAACTTTTCGCTGGAGACAAACCTCAGTGTAGAGAAAGCATTGCAGTTGACTTTGAAGGGTAAATGGGATTCCAATAAGCTGAGTTCGGAGGTGCCCTATTAGTACTTGTCTTCAAAATATCCTTTTTTATTCTGAAGACTATTAGCTGCGGTATGTTACAGACCATTGTTATAAGGACTTAGAATTTTTCCTGTGTTTAGAAGTATTAAGCCAACTAAAAAGATTGTTGGCTTGCTTTCTTTTAAGACATTTAAGTATATGAAGCCTAAATATCATTAAGTTAGAATTTTTTTAGCATTGAAGCATTTAGTACTTTGGGTTTTGGTTTTTCCCCCCAGTTTGCCAGCACTGCTAAGTACATGAAGAATACGCCTTATGTTAATGAGGTATCAAGTGATGAAGCTCTGCTGAAGAGATACAGAAAAGAAATAATGGATCTTAAAAAGCAACTGGAGGAGGTGCGTATGAACCAGTAATTTCAGTAAAGAGGAGAAACTGGTATAGAATGGACATCTGCCCAAATGCTTCTACTCTCAATGCCTGAACATCGGAGTTTAAGCTATAATTTAAGCTTAAAATAGTTTTTAATTAACCCACGAATGGATTAATAAATTGTGGCATATGTACACCATATACCACAATATTACACAGCCCTAAGAAAAATGGAGATTTTACCTCTTTCATGTTTACGTGGATGGAGCTGGACTATATTCTTCTCAGTAAAGTATCTCAAGAATGAGAAGAAAAAGTATCCAGTGTACTCAGCTATACTATATAACCAATATATAATCACCTACACTTCCATAAGAAAGCTATAACCCAACTACAGCCCAAGATGAAGGGGGAGGAAGAGCGGATGGGGAGGATGGGTGGAGGAAGGGTAATTGGTGGGACCACACCCATGATGCATTTTACTAAGGTATATGTCAAATCTACTAAGTGTAGAGTATAATGTCTTAACATAATAATTAAGAAAGTGCGGTGAAGGCTATGTTAACCAATTTGTTATAAGTATTTCAAATTGTATATAAAATTAGCACATTGTACCCCATAAATGCATTAATGTACGTAGCTGTGATTTAATTAAAAAACAAAAAAACTGTGATTTACCCCAAGGAAAAATGAAGTCATTTTCACTTGGTAGTAAATTGTCAATCATGTCTCTCAGTTTTGTGCACATGTTCATACTGTCTTACTGCCAAATAATGTGCTAATTGAACATCTTATATTACCCAAATATTGGTAATTATGTTTGTTGAAACATAAACATTTTCCCCTGGTTGGAAGAATTCCTAGGTCATATGACAGGATTTCTAACCAAGATAAATTGATTCTTAAAAATTTTAGTTTAATTTACTCCAAACTATAAGATTTTGGTCTTTTAAATAATTTTAGACTTTGTTTTTCATTTTCAAAGCCCAAAATCTGAGATTATGAAATGGGCCAATAGAGATATTTTAAAATTTTCACGAACTCCCATGTGAATTACATTAAAAAAAGATCATGAGTATAGTTATTTACAACCACCTCATACATTTTCATGTAATCCTGAGTTCCTCTGTAACCCTCAGATAGCAATCTAATAATGAGCATAATCACTTATCATTTTTGTATGTTTTAGCCATCATGGTTCCTTATTTCATAAAAATTTTGCATGTCAGTGATCATTTTAGAAATGAGCTAAATATCAAGTGGTAGTCTTTTGAGAACCTCTTTACCATTACTGTTGATAGTAAAGTCTTTTTGATCACGTCTGCCTGTTATTCATACATTCTTAGGTGATTAATAGAATTATTTTAACAGCATCATTATCTTATATGTGAGTAGAAATGGATATTTTATTTTAAGTTTGGGACATTCTCATAATGAGAATTAAAATTCACATAGAAATTTAATATCCTATTCTTTTAAGCTACTTTCAGGGTTTTAAAATCTAGCTGCATTTATCACATTAATTGGATCATGTTAATGATCCAATATTACAATTTATAGGTTTCTTCAGAGACTCGAGCCCAGGCAATGGAGAAAGACCAATTAGCCCAACTTTTGGAAGAAAAAGATTTGCTTCAAAAAGTACAGAATGAGAAAATTGAAAACTTAACACGAATGCTAGTAACCTCTTCTTCCCTCACATCACAACAGGAATTAAAGGTAAAACTTAAAAGATGACTGCTTAAATTTAGTGTTTGGAAATAGAATTGATGTTTCTATATGCTAATTATGCACTTTATATCCTTATAAAGTTATGTACTTTATATCCTTTGATGCAGTATATTCAAGAAACCCAGAACATTTTGTGTGTTTGCCTACATATTAACCATACCTAAGAGGTTCATAAAAGATACAAATCCCTGATTCCCACGTGCAGGGTGGACATAAAGTTTGTGTGCAATTTACTATATTAAACTATTTCATATTGCACACGAGCTTTATGCCCTCCCTTGATTCCCGTTCAAGAAGTCTGGAACAGTTCAAGAAATCTGTTTGCAATATGCTTCTTAATAAGGTCAAATGTAACTGATTGGGTGATTGGAAACCCTGGGTTTGTAGGGTATGTGGTAATATTTTCTACTTAACAGAAATATTAGTCTCCAGAAAATTGTTCCAGAATACAAATTGATGCAGTGATCAAAATTCTGGCTTCCAGTTTGTGTACTTTTTGTTTTTAATTGCATATGGGTTTATTCATCCAATAGCCCTTGTGGGGGTATGATGGTGTCGTGGCTAAGAACTGAACTACCAGACTTGAATCCTGCTTCTGTCAATTCTTAAGTCTTGACTTTGGACAATTTCTTGAATTCAATTTGCTGCTGTTTCCTTATCTGAGAGTAGCTTGAAGTCTACCTTATAGGGTTGTCATGAGGATTAAATGAGTTTCCCACAGCAAATTCATTCCCATTAAATGAATTTCCCACAGCAAATTCTCAGTAAATTTATGCTGTTGATGTTATTGTGAATAGGCGTTACCCACAAATCACCACATGAGGTATACAGAAGACACTCAAGAACTGTTGGTTGACTGATGAATGGGAACTAGCCCAATGGGTGGCCTAGGAAAGAAGGTTTTTCAGGAAAAGATGTGTATGTACAAAAGCTTGTGAAGCAGCATGATGTATTCTTTGGACTCAGGTTTGCTGGTAGCAGGGGGATTTTAAACCATATTGAGGGATTTAAATGTGACCATATGCTAGGGATGGAAAAGAAAGCCATATATGTGACATCAGAATTGTAGTTTGGAAAGGTGTGGCTGCTGTGCTTATCAGATTGGCTGGTTCTCCACAAGGATTGTGGCTCTGGAGAAGGAATTGGATAAATTGGAGAGCTGTGTGGGAGGTAGAATTAACAGGACTTTGTGATGAGATGTTGGGGACAGAGAAAGGGAAAAGAAGAGGTCGAGAATGACATGCAAGTGTTGCGTGAGAGGCTGGTCGCAGTATTTATTGAGTTAAGCAATACCAAACGGAGAGCAGAGATGCTGGAGGTTTTTATTTGGGACTTCTTTAGTTTGAGATGTCAGGACATTGAAAGCAAATACCAGGGATGCCAAAAAATGTATACACATTTTAAGAGATTTTATTGGAAGTAAAATTTAATCATTCCCCAAAAGTATACAAGTTGCAGGTAAAATGGATGTGCTTAGCATGTCTGGATAGCATCACTTAAAATGTGTATACATGTCATCTGCGTGTTACTTTTCAAAGTGCCTTGCTGGGCACCTTCAATTCAATTTTGAAAAGTAATAAGTAGATAACATCACTTAAAATGTGTATACATTTTTGGCACCCCCTGTATATGCAAATAAGGTAGAAGCTCTGAGGTACAGATATCAATTTCAACATTAATTGCTATGGATTGAAATTAAAGTCATGGGAAAGAATAAGCTTGTTCTGTGAGCATGTTGAGAATGAAAATAACAGAAAACCAAGAGCAAAACCTAAAGAAACAACTGTTCAGATAAAGGCAGAAAAAGAATCTGTAAAGGAACCCAGAGTTAGCTTTAGAATTAAGAATAAAACCAGGTGAATATAGTAACTACGGGAAGAGACTATTTCAAAGAGGTAGTGGTCAGTAGTGTCATATTCTGCCAACAATTTAATTAAAATAGACAAAAATTCTTTACATTTAGAAACAGAGCTCATTTGCAAAAATAATTCAAGTTATGTGGTGGGAATGAAAGCCACCTTACAGTGTGTTGAAATGGCCCAAAGGGATGAGGACCTGGATATATTAGAAGGAATTAGCCTTAGATAGGAGGAGAAACATCTCTTGAATTGTAACAAACACAGGAAAGGGTGGATCTCAGTGCAGGTAGTACTCGTTAAATTTTAATTTTTCAGGAGAGATGGCAGGTGATGGTAGAGTCGCAAGTTTTCAGAGATACCAAGGGTTTGATATAGTCTAAAACCCTAGCCTTCATCAGTAATGGGTAAAAAAGCTGACAAGGGGGAGAAGTCCTTCATGTAGCATTAAGGACCTGATTGATGTTGGCAGCCAGTCTTCTGGCTGTGTGGCTCTGGCAGCACTCAGGATGCTGACAAAGGCTCAGAATGCAGTGTAATTCATCTGGAGTGTAATTCATACCTTGTGTTGGGTAGGTATGAGAGACAGAATGGGCAGTGTAATTCATCTG